ACCGATCTGTCTAACTACTCTAAAGGAGCCTAACCACATCGCAAAACGCCAAAACCACCTGGAAACGACGGCTTGTAAATAAAATAAGAGTAACAAAAAAAACGTCAAACTCCTTCCTATAATTCCCGTAAGGCCATCTCCACAATGTCTGTTTCTCGTTCGGTTCAGAGTAATTCTCGTCATGGCACGTGATTTGATATTCTGCACACGCCGGAAGCCATATTTTATTTTATATACATCAATGGGCGCTATTTGGCTGGGAAATGGGTGGGTGCGGGGAAGACAAGGGAACAAGCTGCACATGGGGGCCAATACAACAGTCGGTGGCCAGAGGGATGGGGGTACATGACTTAGCGGAGCGAATACATGGCGAGTTCAGGCCCAGTGGAATGGAACGCGTCTTGCAGAGGTGGTGGGCTGGCCATGGGCACATCAGTAGGCCGAGCGCTCGTTGCGGCGGCGGTTGTTGTCGCGCTTCTCCTCCTTCTGGCTGAGCAGCACGACCAGGTAGCGGAACACTTGGATGAAGTCGATGAACAGCTCGACGGAGTGCCAGATGTAGTCCTAAAAGGAAAGAATAAAAATTGTTCAAAATATTTTGACAATATGTTTTTTAAAAAGCTCACCTCATCTCCCATGCGATTCTTCTCGACGATGAGCTGGGTGTCGTAGAGGATGAACGCGCACGAAATTCCGAGTCCTGAAAAATAACATTTAAATCGAATTTTAGACCAGGCGGAAGCTAGGGCGGTGCTTTTTCGATATCGGGGGGACGGGGATGAGTTATTTTAGAATTCCAGAAAACCGTAGTTACTGTAATGGCTCGCATTTTAAAGTTTTTTTTTGTTTTTGGCTATATTTCAAGTCAAAAACCGTTTAGAAAACTTAGAAAATGGCAAATTCTGGCCGAAAACAATGCTCTTTTCGCTTTTAAATCAAAAATTGTAACTCTATCGTTTCAGAACCGGAAAAAATATGATGAAGAAAAATGATGTACGATCCGTAGTAGAAAAATTAGAGCTGAATGAAAAAGCTTGTCCTTCCCCGATACTGCGAAAGCACACAAAAGCACATTGTAGATTTTTTAAAAAGCCATAAAAGACAAAAAAGTTACCCATCCACATCATGACGGTGTAGTAGCGGGTGAAGATAGCCATGAAGAGCAGGGCCATCGAGGCGGAAGCCAGCGTGCCGCCGAGGTAGAGGTACTTGGTCGACGGCGCATACAGGGCGGACAGCGAGAAGCAAGTGAAGACGAACGCCTAAAAACGAAAATCAAATAAGAATACGTGCAGAAAAGAGCAGAAAAACTCCTTTCAAAAACGTACCGTGGTCAAGAAGGCGGTGAGGATGATGGTGGGGTTGATCATCATGGCGTGCTCGAGCAGCGGACCGGTGGAAACGCCTACATCAAATAGAATTCAATTGTAGAAAAAAGTGTACCCGAGATGAAGCAGAAGCCGAGGAAGTATCCGAAGCGCTTCTTCTGGTTCTCGGGCACGGCCGGCGTCGACATCAGCATGAACATCAGCGCGATCGAGCCAAGCGAGAGCAGGAAGTTGGCACTGAAATTGAAAATTAGGGTGAATTTCATCATTGAAGTTGGCACTGAAATTGAAAATTAGGGTGAATTTCATCATTTGCCCATAAATTTTCTAGGCAGCGTTTTCTAAAACTAAAACTAATCAAATCAAACTAGCTCCGATTTAGGCTTTAGCTCCCGAAAAAAGGCTTTGAACCAGCCTGATGAATCTACTGAGATTGCCTCATGCGCACAGTTCAAAGTTCACACTTCCAATTTAGAATAAAAAACGCTTCAAACCACAAAAAATTCATTGCCAATGTGAAACGTTTTTACAGCCCTTTGGCGGCCTTTTCTTGTCAGATTTTAGCCTCAACTCCAGTTTTTCTAGCCCAGAAGCTTAAAATTCGAACTCAAGGTGTAAAACTAGGCTAGGGGACTTTTTCGGGTTACTGACCGGCCTAAATCTGCTTGTCTCTAAATCCCAAAATGCCAAAATTTACCGCAAAATGTTGGTGAACAGATGCACGGAGGCGCCGACGGCGGCCGCACCAAGCCCGACGGCCAGCGAGCCGTACACGTTCTTCAGGTGGGTCTTCTGGCGCTTCTCACTAAAAAACAAAAGTAAATTGCGCGAAAGTTAAAAACCTACAGCTTGTCATCAAGCGAGCTGAAGGCGCGGCCAATGTTGGCGAAGATGTTGGTCGAGTCGTTGGGGGCTGTGCGGGCAGCCATTTTCTGGAAAAGATAAAGTTAATATAGAACCGAGATCGGGAACGCGGAACGAGGAAAAACAAAATTAAACTGAAAAATTGAATCTATTGCACCAAAACATGAGGTTTGAGGACCATTATGTAGTGCAAGAATAAAGGCATGATGAAATTTTGGAAGGAGATTTTTTGAATAGTTGGGATTCTGGCTAAAGCACAATCCAAGCTCGTTCTTTTTAGATAAAAACGTTCTCAAAACAATAAAAGGTACTATCAGGTTTTTTATTCATTATTTTAATAGAAAATTTTTAGAAGAAAAATCATTTAAGTCTTTCAATTCTGCCAGGGATTCCATTCCGACACTTTATTTTCGATAAAAGAATCATAAAATCATAGAAAAACGCAAAGTTTGATCGACTTTCATCATAAATAATTGTATTTTATCGAATGCAGGATGATGAAATATGAAAGCTGAGCCGATCAGGAATGAGAAAACAGTGAATCAATTGCCGAACGATCCAGATCGGAGCTTATTATGCAGTGTAAGCCGTGGTTGTCCACGTCGAATTGGCCGACTAGCCCGCTCTCTTTCTCAACAAAATGTGGCCGGGGCAGGAGATCGATGCGTTGCGTGTGCGAGACGGGGAAATGAAGAGAGTTCCAGAGAGAGCGCTCGCCCAATCTCTCGCAAAGGCGAAAAATTACTTGCGTGCGTTTGCCCGTAAATATGGAAGTGATAGCGGCAAAAATGATGCAAAACAGAATGGCGCGTTCGGCAGGGCAGTCGGGAAAAGTTTTAGGAAACATTTTGTTTAAAGAAAACCAATAAAAACTAGCAATTGAACAGCAATTTGCCAAAATATTCAAAGAATGGAAATAAAAAGAAAACTCCCGCGAGCCGTACCTGGAAACCCCACCTTACGTCAACTGGAGTGCACGGAATCGGCAGACACGCAGAGAATGGAGTACGGTCATTGGAGCGCGCTAACCGGCTGCAAGGAATAGAGCGTCAATTGGAATGCCGCGGAAATGTCGAAAAAACGTAAAACGCCGAAAATACTTTAAAACTTTAGAAAGCTTGTAGTTTTTTGAAGATCAAGGGTTGGGAAATCTCGAATCGGCTTTCCGGATTGAATTATCCTAGTTAAGAGCTTCTATAACCCCGCGACGCTCTTTTCAAAGCAGTTTGAAAGAAAACCACATCAAAAAAGTCATTTCTAAGTGGCCAATATCGTCCTAATGACGACGCTCTTTCATTTAACGTAGAAATCGTAATTAGTAGTATCCATCTAAAATTGGATACAATAAAATAAAGGTATTGAATTGAGAGTTATAGAGTTTTTTAGGCTTTCCAAGCCCAAAAAAGTTTTCTACACACGAGAAAAAGGTGAGGAAAAGCTTGACCGGCTTTTTTGAAAATTCTGAAGCTCAAAATTTGATGGCAATACCGAAAACTTTGTTGCGAATGGAAAAAGCCGATGCTCTGAGCGCCAATTACGGTACGTGACGCCCGGTGGAATCTAATCAAAACCACCGGCTGTTTTTCGGCGTGCCTAGGCAACGGTCAACCAAAACGGACACGGGCCGCCAGATGCTCATTAGCCAGAGTTTTTTTTTGCGGGAACACAGGTGAAATAAGGGGATTTTTGGGTTGGATGGTATTTAGGGGTTTGTGACGAGAGCGTGATAGCAACTTCCGGGAAGAAAATTAATGGCTAAACGCTGATAGATCAAAGTTATAAACCTGAAAAACGTCAAAGTTAAGCGCAAGAAGCGCAGATCAAAATAAAAAACGCGAAAAAAGTGATTTGGGTGCTTTTGCATTATCGTGTGGGGCAATTTTCCCATTAGGATTCTTTTATTCCAATTCATAAGGCAGCATTTTTAAATTGTTTCCAACTATTCATGAACGTAAAAACGAGAAAATTTCATCAAAAAAGACAAAGATGTCGATTTTCGGGCAAAATGTGTGCTTTTAAAAGTTTTCTGAGTTCCTTAGATTTGAATGTTTTTAGTAGTTTGGGATTGCTAGAAAGCTATCAAAAAATTTTTTTAAAGAATTTTTAGAATTCGAAAAGTTTGACTTTTTTGAAAATTTTCATACATTTTTGATCAAAAATTCAAAAATTTCAGAAACTTTTGATTATTTTTTAATACTGTTTTTATATCTGAAAACGATGTAAATGCCAATGGGTTATATGTTTTCATAGGGCCGTCGAGAATCACAGGGGAAACTCTGGTTCCCCCTGTTCACCCAAATTTTCCCAAATTTTCTCCGCTAGCCTGCCCTATCCGCTTTTAATTTCTGACCCTGCCGTCGCGCCATTCCCTTCCCTATAATTTTATCTACCCCGAAACACGGCAAGCCATAGCGGGCGGGGGGGGGGCATAACTATGCGGGGTGTCGTGTCAGTGATAAGTAGCCGATGTGGGGGGAATCGCTTCGGGAATTGCTTCCAAAATTTATAGCCCAACCGGAGAACGTTGGGAGTATTCAAATGAAATTTTTTACGATTTATCTTTGAAAAAAAATGAATTCGGACATGAAAATTTGCATATATATCTCTCTCTCGCTTTCTCTCGCACTCTCTCTTTCTCTCGATAACTCGGTCTTTCTCTCTCTCTCTCCTTCGCTCTCACTCTCTAACGTCATTTTTAGAATGCTCTATATAAGCCGGCGGGTCCAATTTATAATACTTCTCGTTGCGGCCGCTTGTATTATTGGTGGGATTGTGACATGGATCATATTCCCGCATATCTACGACAGTATGGTGAAACAAGTAATACACAATTTCCTAAAAAACCTCTGCTAGTCTGCCCTTTCCCAAAGAATCTCTGCTACTGTCTAGTCTAGTCAATTTTTAGCAATTAGCCTTGACCCAAAACGACGATGAAAGCCTCGGCTATTCGGCATTTATGATGGCAAATCCACCTATGCGAAATGTCATGAAGTTCATCTTCTTCAACATTACCAACGAGGAGGAGGTGAGCTAATTAAATTTAATTCTAGTTAATCAACTTAATCGTTAAGGTAAAATACAACGGTGCTCAGCCCAGAGTCTTCGAAACGGGAGCTTATTCAGTGCTGTAAGTGAAAGAGAGAAAGAGACAGAGAGTGATAGAGAGTGAAAGAGAGAGAGAGAGAGAGAGAGACAGAACGATAGATGTTTTCAGGGAATCCGAGCAAAAGCGCTACATCGAATTCTCGTCGGACCAGAGCCAGGTTCGAAATCTATAGTATCATTTAAATTTTTAAAACTAGATGTTCTACGAAAACTACAAAATCTACAACATTGATCCGGAGGAATCGTGTGAGACGTGTGATTGGGAAGAAGATATTGTCACGATTCCGAATCCCGTCGAAGTGGTGGGTTTAATTTGTTTAAATTTGCTCTCTCTCTCTCTCTCTCTCTCTCTCTCTCTCTCTCTCTCTCTCTCTCTCTCCTCTCTGGCTCTCTGCGGCTCTCTCTCACTCTGGCTCTCTCGCTCTCGCTCTCATTCTCTCTCTATCTCGCTCTCTTTCTCTCTCTCTCTCTCTCTCTCTCTCTCTCTCTCTCTCTCTCTCTCTGGCTCTCTGCGGCTCTCTCTCACTCTGGCTCTCTCTATCTCGCTCTCCTTCTCTCTCTCTCTCTCGCTCTCTCGCTCCCTCGCTCCCTCGCCCCCAATTTAACGAATTAAATTTCCATCTCCTTCCAAAACCCCTGGGAAAATCAGTAGACAGCCTGCCATCATTATTCCCCCCGGCTTCTCCCCCGCTGATATGCTAACCAAAAACGAGTGTCTCTGTGGCCATTCCGCCCGGCTACTGATAACGGGACATAGAATGTCGCGTTTGCTAAACCCTGTTCTGCAAAAAACGACCGGGTTTGGGTCAGAGAAACAGTGACCGGTCCAGTTAAAAGGGCAAAAAAATTTAAATCTTGCGTAACGCTCCCTTTAAAGGGGTCGGCAAAGCAAAATCCATGAATTCAGGGAGCTGCCGCCGACGTGATGGACCCGCAATTCGGTATCTCGGACCCGGAAAAGCATCTGATTGCCGTGATGATGCTCCTTGTCGGCGAGTATCCATTTATGTGAGTCGGACTTATAAGGGATCGTGACAGCATGGGAGAGCCAAAGGCAAGGGCAGGCTAGCAGCGTTTTTGGGAAGCCCTAGAAAGCCTGGCATGAAAATCAATGCGAAAAAGCAAAAATCGTTATCCGGAAATGCGAGGGCAAGCGAGCGGAGACCATTTGTGTATAGGGCGCGCAACCTAGCAGAGATCCTTAGAAAATTGGCAGCGGGCCAGCTAGCAGAGATTCCTAGAGGTTAAAGGGGCTCAGAAGTCAAAATTCGTGCGTGCGGGGATTGAACCTACGGGTCAAAAAAACGAAACGGTCACTGCCGAGAAGTGCCAAAAAAGCGATTTGATTGCGAAAAAACGTAAAATGTTTGAGAAAAACCGAATTCTTTTTGGGGCAAAAACGAAATTTTGAGTGCGCGGCGATTACATGTCGTAATGCCTTGTAAGGCACCCAATCTCTCGATCTCGGTGATTCTCTGATCAATTTTCATAATTTAAAAGTCTGGAATGATCAAAATTCGTTGAGGATTCCAAAAATAGTATCAGAATTGTGAAATTCAAGCGTTTTCGCGTCCAAACAGGGGCAAAAGATCATGCGGCGCGGTCGCGTTGCGGCCGCATCTGGCTATTTGCCAGGAATCACAGCAGGGGGCCGTGGACCAGATTTCGGAGCCCCTTTAAGTGGTGGCAACCTAGCAGACTTCGTAGAAAATCGGCAGCTGGCAAGCTAGCTGAGACGCTTGAAAAAACGCACGAGGGCAACCTAGCAGAGATTCTTTGAGGTCAGGCGCGGGCAGGCTAGCAAATACGCTTCAGGAACTAGTGGACGAGCTAGCGGAGATTCCTTGAGAACCGGCAAGCAAGCAGAGACTTTTTGCGGAAATTCACGAGGACGAGCTAGCAAAGATTCCTAGAAAATTGGCAGCGGGCAAGCTAGCTGAGACGCTTGAGGAAACGCACCAGGGCAACCTAGCAGAGATCCTTTGAAAATTCCAAAAATTATCCGATTTAGCACGAAAAAGGTGAAGGAAATTCTGTTCACCGGTTACAACGACCCGATGCTGAGTCTTGCTCATTCCGACTTGGTGGCGACGATTAGCAAAATTGTTAAGGTATTGAAAACTGCCTTAAAAACCTAGCCTATCTTTTTCATAGCCTTTCCATCCTCAAAAAACCCTTATAAGTCATTCGGTACTTTCGTATTATCGGGGGTGGGGAGTGTTTTGTGTTTTTAATGACATTTAACTAGCTTTAAAGTGCAAAAAACCATCTAAAAACTATCTTTTCGAAAACCAGGCATTGTTGCGCTCGAAAAAGATTCTTTTTGCATTTCTTTAGATGAAATGTGTAAGGATTTTACGTTTAGAAATAATAAAACAGTTTAAAAACACTTTTTCATTTTATATTCGAAAACTGGATCGCTAGAAACAAGTTGTCCCCCCGATAATGCAAAAGCACCGTTTCAGACAGTCTTAAATTTAAATTTAAGGGCGATAACGGGTCGATAATCCCGATTCCATGCCCGGCGATGCCGCGGCTCGGCTTTTTCATAGGGGTAAGTTACCTAGGCTATTTGCATATTAAAATACGCTTTTTTAGTACAACAACTCGCAGGACGAGAGCTACTGGGTGAAGACTGGGAAGAATAATATTGAAGATATTGGAAAAGTGACACAGGTGGCAGGCTAGCAGGGACTATTTGGGAAAATAGAAGCAGGCTAGCAGAGAAATTTGGCGAAAGGCAGGCTAGCAGAGCTTCTTTAGGAATGGGTAGGCTAGCAGAGATTCTTTAGGAATGGGCAGGCTAGCAGAGATTCTTTAGGGAAGGGGGAAGCTCGCAGAGATCCTTTAGGAAAGGGCAGGCAAGCAGAGATCATTTAGGAAAGGGCAGGCTTGCAGAGATTCTTTGGGGACAGGGCAGGCTAGCTGAGATTCTTTAGGAGAGGGTAGGCTAGCAGAGATTCTTTAGTAACTCCCAATTTTTAGTGGGGCAACGTACGCGAGCTGCCCGACTACTGGTGGACGGACGACTACGCGAGGAGCATCAGGGGCTCCGATTCGGGGAGCTTCAACAAGTGGAAACTCGAGAAATCAGACCGCCTGGAGATGTTCTACTCTTTCATGTGCCGCAGCTTCAACAAGGAGTTTTTGGAGGAGACTGAAGTGAATGGGATCCCGGCGTACAGGTGAGCTTAAAGGGAGCGTGACAGGGGGGAAGATGAGCTATTTTAGGTACTCGACCCCGTTTGAGGACTACGATTCTACGTTGGAGATTAATCGAGGGTTTCGCTATCGAAATTTCGAGAATATTGATTACTTTCCGAACTGGCCGGAATGTCCGGAGTGAGTTGTGAAAAAGTGTCGATTCTAGTGCATTAGCGGGGGGGAGGCGGATGAACAAGTAACTATTTTAATATCTTGCTAGTATTTTCTGATTACCGAAAGACCCTTTTTTCTTTAAAATGATTCTTAAAATGTTTTCAGTCTCTTTCAAAAATTTACCACGAAAAAACAACATTTTTCGCAAATGTTAGTGAATTTTATGAACTTTTTATAGCTAAAAAGGCGTAAAATGCTATTTAAATAAACCAGTTTTTTGCTAGAAACTGGGAAATATCCACCCCGCGCTAATGTACCTGCTCCTAATCGATTGCACGCTTTCTTTCTCTCTTTCTCTCTTTCTCTCGCTCTCTCTCTCTCTCTCTCTCTCTCTCTCTCTCTTCCTCACACCTATCCTCAACTTCTCTCTCAACTCTCTCTCTCTCTCTCTCTCTCTCTCTCTCTCTCTCTCTTCCTCACACACTATCTCTCGCCTTCTCTCTCACTTTCTCTATCTCTCTCTCTTTCTCTCTTCCTCGCACTCTCTCTCCTTACTTTTCGTTTTTAAACTATAAAAATTAATTCATTTAGAAAAAACGCCTCTCGCTGTTCGGGCCAACACAGCGTCGATTGCTCTCAAGCTATCAATTTCTGCAATGATTGCTGTAATGGGAGTCATGTGGGCGATACGTACTTGTTGCCGCCCGGAATCTTCCCATTAGTATGCTATCCAGGTTCGTTAGAGTATCGTTATCAGGGGCAGGCTAGCCGAGATCATTTAGGAAAAACTGGGCAGGCTAGCCGAGAAAATTTGGGAAAAGGAGGACAGGCTAGCAGAGGTTATTTAAGAAAATGAAGGAAGCTGTTCTAGCGGAGATTTTCTAGCAAAATGCAAAGCGATGTGCTAGCGGAGATTCTTTAGGAATTTGGGCAAGCTAGCAGAGATCATTGGAGACTGAACAAGGCAAGCTAGCAAAGATCATAAGGAACGAAAGGGCGGCAGGCTAGCCGAGGTCTTATGCGAATTAAGGCGGTCTAGCAGAGATTATTTAGGAAAAAAAACCGGCAGGGTAGCAAAGTTCATTTGAGAAACGTAGGCAAGCTAGCAGATACCTTTAGCCCTATTTAAATAAGAATTAAACAAGCTAAATTCAGGGAAACTCCAACCGACCCCATTCTCCGTCATGTACTCCCCGCCTCACTTTTTGTATTCCCCGCAACAAGTGGTAAATTTTGATAAGGAATTCTATAATACAAGAATTCATCAGATTGATACGGTAGTGGGGATGAATCCAGATCCGGAGCTCCATCGACCCTTCCTCTATGATCACGAACCGGTGAGTGTAAGCAAAGAATGCAAGAAAGAGGCTAGGCTTAGGCTTACTGTAAAGTGTTTTTACTCAGGCTGGCGTTTTCCAATGGGACCAAGCCTATCTTGTGCAGAATTTTTCGCTGATTCCGAATCTGATTTCCAAATTTGCTGCCGACCTTTATTTAAATAGTTATTCGACATTTATACTAAAAAAATCGACTAAATCCGGATTTTTTGCGGTATTTTTTAAGTTGTCGTCACCTCCGACGTTAAAACTGGCTCGGTAACGGTTTTAGAGGTCAAAGCACGATTTTATGGAAAAATCAGGTGTTTTTGTGCAAAAAGCAAAAGAAATTGTGCAGGACGAGATTTGAACCGCCGCCCTCTGCTTGGCAAGCAAGCAGCTTACCAATGCACTATGGTGCCAACTGGGAAGGGGGCTTTGGGAGGGTAGATAAGGGACACAACAATACTTGAGCCGAGGCAGGCAATAGTGGGCCAGCATCCGAATTTATACCGTTTTTAAGCTTAATTAAGACCCCCAAATGACTTTTTAACGCATAGTCCGCAGCAAATTTGGAAAACGGATTCGGAATCAGCAAAAAATTCTGAACAAAATAGGCTTGGTCCCATCCTAAAACGCCAGCCTGAGTAAAAACACTTTACAGTTAGGCTTGGCTTACGTTTGGCTTAGGCTTAGGCTTGGGCTTAGGCTAGGCTTAGGCTTAGGCTAGGCTTAGACTTGGGCTTAGGCGTAGGTCGGGCTTAGGCTTGGGCTTGAGCTTGGGCTGGGGCGGCTTAGGCTTAGGCTTAGGAGTAAGCCCTTGCAAAGTCAAGCCAGCAAAGCCAAGCCAAACGCAACTAAATTTTTCTAGCACTCTGGGCAAGCGATGCGCGTACAAGTCCGGCTGATGGTCTCCACCCCAATGATGAATCGGACAACATTTTTGTAAGTTTTAGAGCTTAGGTTTCACTTAGCTTTATGCTTAGGCTTAGGCTTAGGCTTGGGCTTGGGCTTAGGCTTAACTTTAAACTTCAGAAAATGCCAATTTCTAGCCACAACACCCATCTTCCCTGCGTGATGTTCCCCATCTTCTACCAGAGCGCCAAGGCGGTGGTGTTGGATGTGGTGCTGAACAAGTTGTGGCTTGGCTTCGTCTTTGTGCCGAAAGCCGTTGCATTTTTGAAGGTATGTTGGGAGAGGGGAGGCTAGCAGAGATCCTTTGGGAACTCAGAGAGGCAAGCTAGCAGAGAACACTTTGGAAAAATCGGCCTAGGGAGAACGGAGCATTTAGGAATGTATAAGGGCAGGATAGCAGCGCTTTTTTCGGAATCCAGATGGCAGGCTAAGAGAAATTCATGAGGAATTAAGGGAAGCTTTGAATGGAAAATTTGGGGTTGGGGAGAACCAAGATATCAGAAAAGTTTGCGGAATTGGGGGGCGAGCTAGCAGAGATCCCTTAGGAAAGTGCAAGCTAGCAGAGGTTCGTTAGGAAAGGGTAGGCTAGCGGAGATTCTTTAGGAAATGGGCAAGATAGCAGAGGCCATTTCAGAACTGCTGTATTCCAGTATCTGCTCATCTCATTCGGCCTCTTCCTCCTCGTGCTCCTTTTCCTGATCCGGAATCGGCAGATGGATCACAAGCCCCGTCATAAAGTCAACAAAGAGATCTACGAAAAGCCGCTCTTGAAGCGGAATAGCATTTCAAAGTTTTAATTTACGTATTTTTGCTCTTTTAAAGGGTTGGCGCCAGGCGGAATTTTGCATCTCTCTGGCACTCTTTTTAAACCTACGATTATTTAATTTATTGAATTTACGGGTCCTGCATAATTTGGGTATTGCTTGCCGTGTGTGCGTGTGAGTCACTTTTAAGGTATATGTTTGCCCATTTGCAACATGTTTATTTGCTTATTATGATGAAGCATATAAATTTATATTAATTCCTATGTTTTCCGCAGCAGATTATTCACCCAGAAACAACCATAATAAAAACAGAACCGGATTGCTCGTGAGAGGGCAAAGCGCTGCTTTTTTTGGCTTTCGGATTCACAGTTTTGAAGGAATATTTAACTTTTAGAGCAACTAAAAAGTGGGCAGGCTAGCAGAGATTCTTTAGGAATGGCAGGCTCGCCGACACCGTTTGTAATTCTGGCGAGCTAGCAGAGTCCATTTGAAAGGGAGGGCAAGCTAGCAGAGACCATTTACTTGTTAGGGCTAGCCAGCAGACCCCACTTGAGGCCATTTGAAGGTCCGGGCAAGCTAGCAGAGACCGTTTGTAATTCTGCCGAGCTAGCAGAAATCATTTACTTGCCAGGGATAGCTGCAGAGGTCATTTGAAGGTAAGGCAAGCTAGCAGTGATTATTTGCAAGTCATTACAAGCTAGCAGAGACCATTTAGCTGCTAGGGCTAGCTAGCAGAGGCCATTTGAGGCCATTTGAAAGGGAGGGCAGGCTAGCAGAGATTTTTGAGGAAAGAGCAGGCTAGCAGAGTCCATTTGAAAGGGAGGGCAAGCTAGCAGAGACCATTTACTTGTTAGGGCTAGCTAGCAGAGATCATTTGAAATCCCAGCGAGCTAGCAGGGTTTTTCAGTTTGTTTTTTTTTACACTAGCGTTAAAACTTCTTGCTGTTGTTTTTAAGTTCTAAGGCTTATTTTGAAAGTTTCCAACATGATCTCTATCATCCGGTTCAAGCGCATCATCCGGAACCCTAAAAGACGCTCTAAGCAAATAAGCCGCGTGCATAAAATGTGTGTTTGTATATATCTTTGGAGGTTCTTTTTAGGGGGATGTGTGTCTATTGATGCAGCGTCACCCATTCTTAGTGCCAAATAAAATTCATGCCTTGGCAAACAGATAGCAAACAAGGGTTGAAGAAAGCGGGATTCCTTGTGGGGGTTCTGGACCCGTTCGGTCTTGTTTTCCCAAAGCAGGCCCCAGATACCGTAATCCCGTGGGGCAGGCTAGCAAAGATGCTTTAGGAATAAAATCTAGCAAAAACGTAGAAGCATGTGATTCACAGTTTTCGGGTCGTTCGGTCCCGTTTTCTTATAGCGCGCCCAAGATACCGTAATACTAGATGAGCAGCTAGCAGAGACATTTTGGGAATGGAAGGCAGGTTAGCAAAGATCATTAAGGAATTGCGATCAAGCTAGAAGAGATTCTGAGGGCATTGAAATGGCCAGTTAGCAGAGATCTTTTAGGAAAACTGGGGCAGACGAGCCGCGATTCTTTAGGAAAGAGCAGGCGAGCAGAGATTTTCTAGGAAAAGGCAGGCTGGCAAAGATCCTTGAGAAGCCAGGCTAGCAAAAAAAAATCATTTTATTTCCTTTTCATCTCATTTCCGCGAAAAGTAGCACTTTAATGCTTTAAAACAGTCAAATTATGTCTACGTTTCTCTATCGATTAATGCTTTCCCAAATCGCGATTTTTCGCCTTGCTAAAAACAAAAAAAAACACCACCTCCCAACGCTGTAGGCCAAATTTCGTTGCACCGAATTCGTAGAGGCCCGTAAAAAATTTTTACGGGCCTATTTGATGAGCACTAATTTGGTTGCGCCCCAATTTTTTTCCGTTTTTTTTTGTTTCTTTTTTTCGCCAATTTTATGAGCCGTGATAACAGGAATAATATAGTGTTCTATGCTATAGAGCGTTATATAAGGCAGGGATCACCAGGACTGGCCGGCAGCAATTTGGTACTGGACTGTTAACGGGGGGGACTAATTTTTGATTTTCAGTCTATGGTTATGTGTTAATAATAAATAGTGTATTTTTATAATGCTTCTGGTAGTTCTTGAATGCTGACCAGTTATACAAAGTTATAAATAGTTATAAAAACATCGTTTACCACTGCTAACACCCCCCGCTAACAGCCCAGTACCCGTAATTGTCAGGATTCCTAGTTTCTTTAGAATTACCAGGGTTGAAACTTCGTAAAAATTGTAAAGATTAAACGGGCAGGCTAGCAGAGAACATTGTGGAATGCGAGAGGCAGACTAGCAGAGATCGTTTAGGATCAAAGCGGCAGGCCAGCAGAGATCTCTTGGAAATTACTTGCTCCAGTTTTCCAAACTGCAAAGTACAACAAATCTTCCAGAATCACTAAAAAAATGCCCTTCTTCTCCAGGCCCTCCCAATCGCGATGCGGTGAGCACGAAAAAAATAATTATTATGGCGTAGGCAAGCTAGCAGAGATCATTTAGGAATTCAGGACCAATTTTCACTATTAAAAAACTAGAATGAAAGTTTGCAGGTCAAAGCTCGGGGCGCCAGATGGATTGGGACGAGTTTGAGCGGCAGATGGGTGGTGGTTCAGGTGATTTTTTAAGAATTTAAGCAGGCTAGCAGAGATATCTAGGGAGGGCGAGCTAGCAGAGATTCTTGGGAAAGCCTTTTTTAGGAACCCGTACCGTAACCCGGGTTACGGTGGTGAACGGCGTCAAGACGGTCGAGACGTACACAGAAAATTGCGGAGACTCGAGCTCGAACGAGGAGGATCGTTTCGGGGAGTTGGAGCTGGAGGCCGGGGCTGCTTTTGAGGACAAGTGAGTTGGTTAGGCAGGCTAGCAGAGATTCTTTAGGAAACGGCAGGATAGCAGAGATTCTTTAGGATGGGGCAGGCTAGCAGAGATCTCTTAGGAACCAGTTTTTACACGTTCCGGTCAAATTTCGAGGATCAAAATTTTTTCGAGTCCCTCCTACTCCCGTTCCGATCATAAATGCGAGCCCGATGTCGCGACGGTCAGCAAAAAAAACGCAAAAAAGCAGGAGAAAAATATTGTGGTGTTGACTCAGAAGCACTTTTGCCTGCCGCCGCTTCCAGAAGAAGACGATCGATCTGGTGGTGTGCAGGCGCGCCAGAAAAATTCGAAACAATATTCACAAAAGTTCACAACTAAAATTGATTCTAACTGCCGAAAATCACTTCCTACTTCTAAATTTTTGATACCTCTAAAAGGCCCCGAGAATGAGTCTTTGCTGCTGGAAAAAGCGGCCGCAACGGCAGACGGTCGTTAAAATGTAAATTCTCGCCAACTATCGGAATGTAAAAAAATCTAGTGGATTTTAGGTCTTTTGCGTTATCGGGGGGGGGGGGGTTAAATATAAAAGCGGAAACGTTTCTAAACTGTTTTTTACTATTGCTAAACGTAACAAACTTACACATTTTTGTTAAAAATACAAAAATGTCGATTATTCGACCAAAATATCGAAATTTTTTTGATATATTTTCTAGTTGAAAAATGTGTTTTTCACTACATTCACTACAAATTACAGGATTTAGCGAGCTTTCCGAATAATGGCACAATTAAAGAAAAAGCCGTAGCTCAATTTTTGATAAAAAATTCTTAAAAATAGCAATAAAAAATACACAGCATTTTTTAGCAAATCAACATCCGCTTCCGCCGCCCCGACAGGCCAAAAGGACTACCAGAAATGGGTGGGCCGCATTTAATTCGCTTAAATACCCTAGAATCCTCTATTTATAAAAATATCGAAAAATTCTGATCACAAGTTGTAGGTGCTCAACGAGCACAACAAGTACCGCAACCGTCACCAAGTTGGTAGCCTGGTGCTGGACGAGAAGTTGAACAAGTAAGTATCTCGTATTACAGGGATTATAGCGTAACATAACGTCGCTTAAAGTATTGTAGCGTATTCAAGAGCATAAACAGGAAAAAATAAAAGTCAATCTTCCAAGAAAAAAAATTTTTTTTTAGCCTTGCCCAAGAGTGGGCAAACCGTCTCGCGTCCACCGGCTCATTCCAGCATCGCCCGAATAGCGGCTACGGCGAGAACATTTCGATGGGCTCGGGGAGTTACGGTAGGTGGAGCGGTGGATAGGTTGTGAACAGAAACTTTCGGAATTTTCGTATTCTTCAGATTTTGGTGAAAGGGGCGTGACAGAACAAAAACATACGGTAATTTCCAAGTCTCTTGGGAAACTTCTACAAATACAATTCTAAAGGGAGCCGTGACAGATTCGTGATAAAATGAAGCAAAATTTACTTGAACAAAAATCGGTACTGAATTTTTAGCGGGGGGGGGAGAGGATGGCAGACAAGAAAATTAATTTTTAAGCCAGTTACACCGCGATAAAAACATAGAAGAAAGGTTCGGATTTTCCAAAAAATTTTTCCGGTAGGTAAAAGCGGAAATAAAAATTACTTTTCTCTTTGTTACCCCCCCCGCTAACAGACCAGTACCCCCAATCCTAAGATTAAAGGGGGCGAGACATCATAAACCTTCGAATGCGAAAAAATGTAGGTAAAAGGTAGTGTAGCAGTAAGCGAGGAAAATCGTTAAATTGATCTTAAAGTGGATGTGACATCATAATTCGTACGGTTTCCCAAGAAAAAAAAACCCATGATTTAGCGAACGACCTGGTGAAGCCGTGGTACGACGAGGTGCAGAACTACAACTTTGGGCGCCACGCGGGCTCGGGCACTGGGCATTTCACGCAGATTGTTTGGAAGGTGGGAGCGAAAATAGGAGGGGGAAATTAATTCGAGAAACCGGAAACGATAATGGCAAAATGAAAAAAACTTTAAGGCAGTTAAAATAACCCTAGTCGTTCAAAAAAATTTAAAATTTAATTTTGAAAAACTAATTTCAACCCAATTAAAAAAATCTAAATTACCTAAAAAAGAGGGGTCGAAAACTCAATAAAAAAAACCTAATTAATCTGATTTTAAAGCAGATCTTAAGAAAAACTATAGCCAAATACTTCAAAAAATAAACAAGTTACGCAATTTTAGCCCGATTACGCAAGCCCAAAATCTCCCAAATTTCGCCCCCAATAAACTCAGAAATTCGCTTCAAGCCCATCAACATCTCTTTGATCGATTTTTCTTCAGCAGCCGGGCAGGCTAGCAGAGATCATTTGGGAGCCGGCGCTCTCTTCTTGCAGGCAGAAATCCCAACCCTAATAAATCAGAAATACAGATAGGATGGAACGGTAAAAACTTACCTAAACCGCGCAATTTCCTTGATTCCGTTGAGGGTAGGCTAGCAGAGACCATTTGTGAAGGCGAGTCCTGGGCATTCAGGGCCCTTAAAAAGGGAATTATTTTGAGTTATAAGTAGCAACCTTGTTTCCTCAGTTTCCGATGTGGCAGGCTAGCAGAGACCGTTTGGGAGGATGCGCCAGAGTAGAGACCCTGAAAAAAATTCATGTTGAAGCTGTATTTCGGAGAGAACCAAGGGAAAGAGAAAAAAAGACATAAGAAACAATTCCTAAATGATCTCTGCTAGCCTGCCCTTTCCTAAAGAATCTCTGCTAGCCTGCCCTTTCCTAAAGAATCTCTGCTAGCCTGCCCTTTCCTAAAGAATCTCTGCTAGCCTGCCCTTTCCTAAAGAATCTCTGCTAGTCTGCCCTTTCCTAAAGAATCTCTGCTAGCCTGCCCTTTCCTAAAGAATCTCTGCTAGTCTGCCCTTTCCTAAAGAATCTCTGCTAGCCTGCCCTTTCCTAAAGAATCTCTGCTCTATTTACAAAAATATAAAATTCAAAAAACTCTCTCTTAAAAAATTCAACTTTCTTAAAAAGTTTTTGTTTAAAAAATTAAAACCATTTTTTTTAAACCTGAAAAATTTGATAAAAATTTTAGGCGTCAAAAAAGCTGGGCGTTGGCCGCGCTGTGGCCAAGGACGGGTCGACGTACTTGGTGTGCAACTACGAGCCGGCCGGCAATCTGATCGGCGCACATGCGCAAAACGTTTTCCCCGCCAAATAGGGGACCCCCAGGGATACTGTATTGCCCTTGGAATCGTTCAGTTTATGCCAAAAAACGCTTTAAAAATTTTTGTCGTCTCAAGGAGCCGGGAAGTGATATCACGATCTTTTTTTCATTTTTTTCGTTTTTTTTTCAAATTATCCAAAAAAATTTCTTGTATCATTTAATGGATACAAAAAAACAGCTTATAATTTTGAACTTTTAAAGGGACCTGGAAGCTTGGTTACGGCATTTTTTCGAAATTCCACTTGGGAAAGGGGACAAAGTCCACTTCCCAACCCCTTTAAAACCCCGTGAGTCCGTTTTATACGTTAAATACACTATTTTCCGCGCCGCTACTGTACCTTCCCCGTTTTTGTGCGTTGTATACCGTAGTTTTTGCACGCCCGTTCACCCATTGCGCAAGCGCAACTACCGAAAGCACAAAATAGACAAAATACCAATTCGGTGGCAAAAAAAACGTAAAGAGTTTTCTAGTCATTTTTGTTCCTTTTTAATTCGTACGTATTGCATAAATCAATTATAAATCAGAATTTAACGGTTTTAACCATTTTTCACGTTTTCCCGTATGCAAATTAGCCGAGGACACTCATTTATTCGACAGAGGACAGAAACGGAGAGTGCCAGACACCATAAAAAAATCGGGGGAGGGGGGGGGGGGGAAAAGCCGAGCCAAAAAAAACAGCGAGACGAAGCAGGGCAGAAAAAGGAAGGTGGGGGTGGCGGGGTGCTTGCTGGTGATGATGATGAAGCGGAAAGAAGGGGGGGGAGGGCGAGGTGTCCTGTCGATTTGTTGGTGGTGAGCTGTGTGTGTGTGCGTATGTGTATGCTGCGCTGCCGGGTGGGGGGCCACTGATGGTGGTGATGGGCGCATCTTGGCGATGGGGTCGTCTACTGAAAAAAACCAAGGTAAAGGAATACGCCTATAACTCTTTACAAAAAAATTAACCCACCACATACTCGGACTTGTTCTGCTTGACGCTCTTCTCCGTCTTGCCGCCCTTGTTGTCCTTCTTGTCGTCCTTTTTGTCGTGCTTCTTGGCGTCCTTTTTGTCCTCCTTCTTCGACGACTTGGTCGACTTGGACGACTGGGTGGTGCCCTTCGTCTTTTGCTTCTTCATGAAGCAGAACACTAAGCAAAATGATGTATAAAGGGATCGCAAAAGCGTACCGAGCAGTCCAGCGGCCAGCACGGTGATGATCAGCGCGATGACGGCGAGAATGATGAAGAAGATGATGCCCATGCGCTCGCCTTCGTCTAGAAAAATGAAGGCTCCGCTAGGTTGCTCCTTTTCGTCCCAAATGTTCTCTGCTAGCCAGCGGCATTTCCTAAAGAATCTCTGCTAGCCTGCCCTTTCCTAAAGAATCTCGGCTGGCCTGCCCTTTCCTAAAGAATATCTGCTAGCCTGCACTTTCCTAAAGCATCTCTGCTAGCCTGCCCTTTCCTAAAGAATCTCTGCTAGCCTGCCCTTTCCTAAAGAATCTCTGCTAGTCAGCCCGTTCCTAAACAATCTCTGCTCCCTGCAGCTTCCTAAAGAATCTCCGCTAGCCTGCCCTTTCCTAAAGAATCTCTGCTAGCCTGCCCTTTCCTAAAGAATCTCTGCTAGCCTGCCCTTTCCTAAAGAATCTCTGCTAGCCTGCCCTTTCCTAAAGAATCTCTGCTAGCCTGCCCTTTCCTAAAAAATCTCTGCTAGCCTGCCCTTTCCTAAAGAATCTCTGCTAGCCTGCCCTTTCCTAAAAAAATCTCTGCTAGCCTGCCCTTTCCTAAAGAATCTCTGCTAGCCTGCCCTTTCCTAAAGAATCTCTGCTAGCCTGCCCTTTCCTAAAAAAATCTCTGCTAGCCTGCCCTTTCCTAAAGAATCTCTGCTAGCCTGCCCGCCACCCACCGGAAATGCCGGCGTCCTCATTGGCGGCTGGTCCGAGGACGCACGCGTCTTCCGGCCCGATCTCCTTGATGCGCGTGAACTTGGTGCAGGTGACCTCGCGGCTGCCGTTCTTCCGGCACGGATACGTGTTCGGCTTCGACTCGCACTCTGCAAAGATAAAAATTCTAAGGATACAGACGTATAAATTTTATCAAAAGACGCAAGGAAAAAAACGCCGCAAAACATCGATTTTTCGAAATCGAAAATAGATTTTTTCGACAAAAATTTGAAATTTTGACCAATTTTTTTAAAATTTCAGATTAAACTACAGCCAAATTTTACTGAAAAACGAATTTACCATTTTTTTACTGCGCATTTTTAAGCTACCAGCAAGAAAATTAGCCCCCCGATAATGGAAAAGAACCTCAAAATATCAAGATTTTAAAAAATCTGAATTTAAAAAACTAAGGAAAATTAAAATTATAAAAAAGCAAAAGAACCGTACCTCCAAAGAGGGTACAGAGTCCCATCTCGGGGCCCTCGCCGTACACCTTCACCTTGGTCTCGGGCACGCAGATGGGCTTCGGCCCGCAGTCGGCCATCATCGGCACGCCGCATGCTGGTAAACAAACAATTGATGGTACTCCAAAGTCCCCCTACCAGCAAGGGTCCAGTAGACGGGAAGGTCGCCGGCGATCACCTTCTTCCACGGTACGCAGAATTCGTGCCTGCCCACGACGATCCGCGCTTCGACGCGACCATCGCACTCTGGAAAAAATCGTCAGATCATTGCTTCGACTAAACTCCAGATTAGAGATGTTACGCATACCGACGCGACGTCGGCATAACATGCAAATTAGGAAGCAAAGTACAAAATCAACTCGATAAAGCGATTTTTTGCGCTTTGCATCCTAATTTGCATGTTATCCCGACGTCGCGTCGGTATGCGTAACATCTCTACTCCAGATCCACCCCCCCCAGCGGAACCCCCCACCTACCGTACCTTGGTATTGTCGGCTACGCGGGGGGAAATTTTCGCGGGGGGACGGACTGTGGGGGCCGAGCTAACTATTTTTTTGCGTTTCTTTTTGCTACAAACAAAACTCTTAGTATATTTTTCGACGCTCTGTCGAATGGCACTAAAGAAATTTTGTAAAAATGTCGAAAATGTCGAAAACTTTATTTCCTTCTATGTCCACCATTCAACAACGTTTAATACTTGTTTTTGTTATAACTATTTTATATTACATTATTTTGAGCTAAAATTAAAACTTTTAGTATATTTTTGGATGCTCTATCGAATGGCATCTTTAAAATGGCGAAAAAAAATAGCGCGAATGTCGAAAACAGCCGCTCAACCCGGTTTTCAAAGCCTAGTTTTGTATTTTCCATAACTTTTTCATATTACACTAATTTGAGCTAGAACAAAAACTCTTATTATATTTTTCGATGCTCTATCGAATGCCGTCGCCAAAATTCCGAGGAAATGACGAAAACATCCAAAAAATCCTGCCTGTCCCGTCCCCCCCCGCGTAAAATTGTCCCCTCCCGCGTAGCCGACATATACCCGTACCTTCATCTACAGGTGTGTAAAGTATACCAAAATACTCGCCACAGCAAGGCGAACATTTTGGCACACCTGTAGACACCTGTAGATGAACAGGGAGCCGAGATACGGTAGGTGGGTGCCGGCTGGCGGGGGAAACGGCACTAAAGCCAGATTTCAAAAATTTGAGAATCGGAGTGATGTCAAGGAGAGAGAAGAGGAGAGAGAGAGAGAGAGAGAGAGAGTGCGTGAGAGAGAGAACTGCAAGAATTACCTCCGCCCGTCATCCTGCACGCCCGCGCGTCCGAGCCGTTCTTCATTTTGTCTTTCCGGACGCAGAGGAATGTCTGTTCATCTTTACCGATGCATGTGTCATGTTCGGCATCGCAAACCGCTGCAACAACCATCATCAAAAGCGCCAGGAAGGCGGCAAGGTGCTGGACTGTTAGCGGGGGGGGGGAGGGTTAAACGAGGACACAAAATTTTCCCCTGTGATTCTCTACGGCCCGATAACTAAATATAAACATTTTTATAGCATTTTACATAGTTTTTAGATAGAAAACCAATATTTCAAAAAGCAATATTTTTGAAAATTTGCGATTTTTAAGTAAAAAATGGACAAAAACGACCAAAAAAGGTAAAAATTTTCAAATTTTCTCGATTTTTAAAATATTTGTTATATTTTTCTAGCAATCAAAAACTACGAAAAATACTATAAATTAGATAATATACCATCAACAGGCAGTTGTAAAAACAGAAAGTGGTGCCCCCGCTAACAGTCCAGAACCGCGAAATCGATGTGAAAAAGTGGGAAAAAGTTACCCTTCGCTGCCACGGTGGTCGGCGGCTCGGACGTAACGCCATCCGCGCAGGCGATGAACGCGACGGTGGCGAGGAGGAGGAGGACCAGCACACGGAGGAGCATGGCTGACGCGCGCGGGGGCAAAAAGCAGCCGAGTGTGTGGGGAAATGATGGAAATTATGTCGCAAAACGCACCTAAGCCCCCAACCGGAAGCTGTTCGGATTTAAATACAATTTAGCATGCTGATTGAATTAACCATGCTAACGTAAAAAAAAATTGAAATCCGACCACTGCAGATTTACCCCTCAAAATTCATAGTGGCTCGAATAAGATATGAAACAATTTAAATATAAATATATAAATCATCAATATAAAATATAAATAAATATAAATTATATATAAAATTTATTTTAGCCTGCTAATCCATAAAAAACAAATAACTTTCGCCCACGCATCCGCTTCAAAAAATAAATTTTTGCATCAATTTTCGGCCGCCTTTGCAAATCGCCATCCTGTAACCGAACCCCTTGAAGATGCCGCCCAGAAGAAAGTTGCAGCAGCCGGCCAATTTAAAATTCAGATCCAGTTAAAAATGCAGTGCAAAACAAAAACACCAATCGAAGCCGGAACTAGCAAAAGCTGGCATTCCAAACACGAAATTGGTTCTAGAGCTTTATCGGGGGGGATTTCATTACAAAATTATGACGTTTTACACTGTTTTTTTTTGACGATCCCAGTTGTAGGAACGCTACGAATTTAAAAATAAATTTTTTCTAGATTAAAAAAAATATTTTTTTTTTGCCTAAACCTAGCTAAATTTCGCTAAAAACTATTAAAAACTCAGCTCATTCATTTACGTCCGCCTTTTTCAAAGAAAAATTCAATATCCTCCATAAAATAACTCGCAAAAAGAAACAAAAAAAGTTACTAAATATTTATCAACTCGCAAACAATTGCAAAAACGGGGAAAGTCAAGAAAGCTGAAGCAAGAAGAGATCAACGATTCCGGGAGGGAAGCGCGAAAACAATGCAAATGCCAATAACTGAACATGCGCGAAAACCAACCGGAAATAGAAAGAAAGTGGGGCTCATCGTTTTTACAGTTCGTCCCAGCGCAGACCCACGACTCGATCCTGTGGCAGCCGGTCGCCTTCGCACTGAAAAACGGCATAAATAGAAAATTTAAACAAATAATTAAATTTAAATAAATTATAGATTTAACAATGTTAAATTATCCTACTATATATAAAAAAACCAGATGGTTACAGTCGCTTCGCGACTGCAACCATCTGGCCTTCGGGCTACCCTACATGTCCCACTCCACCACATCCTTTCCCACCTCCATCAATACCCCCCATAGCCGAATTCCCCTTCAAAAACTACCTAAATACCTTCCTGATGGCTTCCGATACCCCCCATGGCTGAAATCCCCTTCAAAATCTACTTCGATGCTTTCCTGATGGCTTTAGATGCCTCCCCCAGCCGAAATCCCCTTCAAAAACTACCTAAATACCTTCCCGATGGCTTCAGATACCTCCCCTAGCCGAAATCCCCTTAAAAAGCAAAAATAACGACCGACCGGATGGAATGAGAGAAAAAAAAGAAATAAAATCCCCCGTGAAAATTTTCATCCACGAAAGGCGCGCCACCTGGCTCACTATGTCCAAAACCACCCCATCCTCCGTCCCCCACCCTTTTACTAAGGAAAAAACTTTCAAAGTTAATTTTAATAATTTAAACTAAAACTTTTCGATAATTTTTTTATCAGTTTGGGGGTTTCTGACGGCGCTCTATCCGAATCCGAAGAGAGCTAAGCTCTAGCTCTTTTCCCCTTCGAGTTGAATTCGGGACCGGACAGACGGACGGACGGACAGAGACCACAACAAAATTATTATAGTTGATATTCGCCAATGACCCGGGCAAATTCCTTTTGTGCGTTGTCGCGGCCAGTTTGCAAGCCAAGATGTTTGCGGAGCAAAGCATCTTCCTGGTTCGACGCACGCGCTCGTTGGAGCGACAACGCTTTCCTCTTGTTGCGTTGGATTCGGATCCTCTGGAGGGTGGCTCTTCGTTGCTTCAGGTACTCGTCATAGCTTCTCTTCGTCTTCGGGAAGTTGTCCACGGCTTCTGCTTGAACTGGCGTTGGGTCCGGTGCTACGGCAATGCATGATGCTGCCACTCCTGGTCCGGTCTTCTCTCCTTCGTCGTCGAATTTTGCTTCGGAACCAAGCTGCTCTGCATTGGCTTCGGCCTTGTCCTCGTCATCATAAGCATCGTCGATGATTCTTGATAATGACATCTAGAAAATGAAATTTAAAACCACAATGAAAACTCCGGGCGTCAGGGAAAAGCAATATGTAAGAAAATGTAGCTTGACGGAAGCGAGAAGCGGGAAGGGTTCGATAAAGCCAAAAGAAGATCGAGCAAAGATCGAAGAAAAATGAACAACCAATGATGAAACACCACCCATTTTCACTGTAGCACGGGTGCTGGGGAAATCCCTCACCGGGCAGTGTATTCGTGGCGGGACCCAGAGATCCCCTTGCGGTTACTTGGGGGAAAAGAATGGAAGAAGCGGCTTAGCGAGGCCCCGCCCCTTCAAAACTACCTAAATACATTCCTGATGGCTTCAGATAACTCCCATAGCCGAAATCTCCTTCAAAACTACCTACATACCCTCCTAATGGCTTAGATACCCCCATGGCTGAAATCCCCTTCGAAAACTACCTAAATACCTTCCCGATGGCTTTAGATACCCCCCATGGCTGAAATCCCCTTCAAAAACTACCTAAATACCTTCCTGATGGCTTTAGATACCCCCCATGGCTGAAATCCCCTTCAAAAACTACCTAAATACCTTTCTGAAGGCTTTAGATACCCCCCATGGCTGAAATCCTTCCATACCTTCCTGATGGCTTCAGATACCCCCCATGGCTGAAATCCCCTTCAAAAACTACTTAGATACCTCCCTGATGGCTTCAGATACCCCCATGGCTGAAATCCCTTCAAAACTACCTAAATACCTTCCTGATGGCTTTAGATACCCCCCATGGCTGAAATCCCCTTCAAAAACTACCTAAATACCTTTCTGAAGGCTTTAGATACCCCCCATGGCTGAAATCCTTCCATACCTTCCTGATGGCTTCAGATACCCCCCATGGCTGAAATCCCCTTCAAAAACTACTTAGATACCTCCCTGATGGCTTCAGATACCCCCATGGCTGAAATCCCCTTCAAAAACTACCTAAATACCTTCCTAGATACTTTCAATAATTTAAATAATTAATTAACATAATTAAAAAGTATTAAAAAGTATTAAAAAGTATTAAAGTAACTTAAAAAGCTATTTGGGCGCGGGAGGGGCCTGGGGAAGAGGGGCGAAGAGAAAGGGGGCGTGGCCTCCCGGGAGAGGGGCCCCCACTCGTTTTATTAAGGCGGCACTTTCAAAGTTAATTTTAATAATTTAAACTAAAACTTTTTCATAATTTTTTTATCAGTTTGGGGGTTTCTGACCACGCTCTATCCGAATCCGAAGAGAGCTAAGCTCTAGCTCCTTTCCCCTTCGAGTTGAATTCGGCTTCACACAGACGGACGGACGGACAGACGCGTCAAGAAAATTATTATAGTTGATAGTGTCTGTGTGTGTGAGTGTGTCCGTGCCACTTTGCATGCAACTTCCGTCAGCGTGTTCCAGTAGTATCTCAAGAAGGGGGGCGGTTAGGGGTTTGTTTTATACCTCATTAGGTGCGTAATGACCGTGGGATGACTGCACACGCATAAAATGTTCAAAAATTCGGTGTTTTCGATGTTAAAATTAAGTTTTTTGTTGAAAAATCGAGCGCCCTTTTTGTTAGGAAACAATTAGCATATTCCGGAAGTTACCGTAGCGTATATAAGAGAAGAGAGAGCGTTTCTCATTTTTTGTCATCGAAAATCGCGTGAATTATGCAAAGGGCAAAAATATCATGGGATCAGACGGGGCCAGGGTTGAAAAGTCGCGAAGCGGCTTTTCAACCCTGGTTTGAATTAAAAAATTTTATCTTTAACGACCTTCAAAAAAATCCTATAACTCTCTGCACGTTTAACATAACTTTAATCGTATAAAAACTAGAAACAAAATGAAATTGAAATTCCTTAGAAGTCGCCTTTCTGCACATTTTCGACAAAAAAATATCTAACAAATAAAAAGTAATATTTTTTAACGAAACTTACAGTTTTCGGAACAGAGAATCTTTTTATTTTAAAAAACCGGAAACCTGAACGGGAAACCTCACCAAAAAGTGGTCGTCGCTGGGGGCGCGTTGGGCGGGCACGCCGTGCGATATGGCGACACCATGCCGGGCACGCGGCGGCGCGAATTCCGGGAAGTCGGAGCAGTTCGGGTACTCGGGGTCCTCGGGCTCGGCCTTGATCCTCGTCAAGATGTCCGCGGTTCGCCTGGGCCTAGGCTCGCGGCGCACCTTCTCGTTCTCCGGCTTGCGTGGGCGGCCGCGCTTCTTCTGAAAAAAACAATTTTTTTTTGAAGGACAATCAAATTGGGTTCTTTGGCATTAGCGGGGGTGGTGAGTTAACTTTGTCAAAGCAACGCATTTTTCCAACAAGAATCGAGGAAGTGTTTCTAAATAGTTTTTGCTACTCCCTAGCTTAAAAATTTCACAAATTTTCATAAAAAAAATACAATAATATCGGATTTTTCGCCCAAAAATGGCGGATTTACAACCAAAATTTAAAATTAAAATCTTTATTTTTAATTTATTGTTTTTCCGCTTGAGATATCGCTAACTACCCAAAAAAAATGAAAATATATACCATTAATTTACTAGGTAATTCGGGAATTGTCCAAAAAAATTCTGTCTTCCCCCCCCCCCCCGATATTGCAAAAGCACCGAGAAATGCGAAACGTACCGGCGGGCCGGCGTGGACGACGTGCTTGTGGTTGATGTGGGCCCGCAGCGTGCACTTGGTCTTCAGAATTTGATGGCAAAAATGGCAGCGGAAACCCTCGGCTGGGTGAAGCTGAAAAAAGGAGGATTATTTGGCTTTACACGTTCAACGAAACTGACGTCAATTTTCATTTACTTAATATATAAAATTTAAATTTAAAACCAACATTTTCGAACGC